TTTTGCTGCTGTAGACTGTAAATTTCCCCAGTGTGGGACAAATAAAGGATATTTTATTTACACTTAACGCTGTGAAGACATCTCGTGCACTGTTTGCAATGCTCCACTAGATGGTAGAGTAGGGTTGAAGTTTACTGAGTGCGTTCACCGCTCTCACAAATAGCCAAATTCTGGTTCACCCAGCTCAATCACCAGACACTGCGAAAAACAACACCGGATATCAGCTTTACAAAATAAAAACCTGTTATTTGTTCCACAGTGGGTCGGTTTCTATTATTTGTTCCTTCCTGGAACGATTTCTATTTCCTCAGACCAAATAGTTAAATACAGTCCAGGGAGATCTTTGTTTTGTTTTCAAAACAGAACATATGATAAGGACCTCTGAGATTTTCAGGGCAAAAAATTCCGTAGTGTAATTTAATCCTTCTGTTTGAAACATCATATTAAACATACATTAAAAGACGCTTAATTGTCTACCATTTATAAGTAGGAGTATGTTGCGTTTGTGTTTACACAATTATCTTTCCCAATTGTGAAATAAATATCCTGCATTATAATTTTGATGGATATTTGCATTTCGTTGTCTGGTAGCCTACTTGAATTCATTGCAGTGAGAACAATGTTTAATGTTAATTAAAAAAAAAATCTAATCTTGAATCCAGATCGATTTCAAATTCTTGAAGGTTAGCACAGCAGAGCAATCATTCGCATTACAGTATACATATTGTGTTGTTTGGTCTACTACGACGCCTAAAAAGGGTGCAGAAAATTTATCAACAACCTCAATAATAGCAATTATAATAATAATAATAATAATAATAATAATAATAATAATAATAATAATAATAATAATAAAACCTTACATAATCTGTCCATGCAGCGCTACTACTACGTTTGAAGGCATGAGTCGGAAGTGTAGCGTGAGTTTTACGTTTCAACAGCGACTTCACGCTGATCATGGTCGTCGTCGGAGAAACCTACTAGACAGTACAAAGTACAGTACTATAGAGCAGTTCACAGTCTCCGTGTGTGGAAGTAGCCCAGTTTCTGCAGGTAAAAAGCGAATGCCTTCTTTTTAAAGAGTGATGTGCAAGCGTTGCAATCGAGAGCGTTTTCTACACTGGTCATATTGTTTTTTTTGGCATTTAAAACGATTGTCATCTGCAACTTATCTGGAGTACTGAATGTGTGGCCGGCCGGCTTCCACGCTCACAGTTAAAAAGAAACACAGCAATTGTTCCTTCGTTTTATGTGCCGTACACAAAGGTAACCGTGGGGATTACTTGTGCTTTCATTAAGGAGGGTAACGTTTTTTTTTTGCAAGCTAGCATTTCGTTGGTTAACAAGCTAACCTTTAACTAGACACGTCAGTGATGCAGTCCTGCACCCACAGTCTTGCACATAAACTACATACCTGCGGAGAGATCGTCTTGCGATATTATTGCACAAGATAGACTTAAAATATTTACTGTGACGTTACTGTACAACGAAAAGCCTCACGTTCTAACAGTCCACAAGAGAATTACCATTTGTCAGTGGATCCAACTGGTGAGCTTCTCCTTACCTTACGTCAGGGGTATCAAACTCTTATTTGTCTCAGTCCACATTGTACAGATTCGCTCGAAGTGCTGTTATGACTGTGAAACCATCCTCATTTTATTACATCTACAGAACAAAACACGTCTATAACTCTAGTTTTAAAATTCTGAAGTCAAGAAAAATAGTTTGTTCATCGGGGCGCTTAACAGCGAACCGCCAGGCTTCCCGTTCTCTGGACGAGTTGTAACTGGGAGAGTAAATTCCATTTGTGCCTTACATACTTGGTTAATAAATATGATTCAGACTCTGATTCTTCAACTATTGCTCAAAATGTTACACAACATATCTTAATATGTGTTACATGTGAAAATTTGAAATTTTGGTACAGATTTTAGCAAGCTTCATGGAAGTTGACATGCTTGATTTGCTTTTGCTGGCCACATAAAATTAATCTGGCCCCCGGCTTTGAATTTGACACGTGTCTTACGGGATAATTATTTCTTACTGGTCTTTTTTTGCAAAATAATTGGAACATGTCAACCCAATACCACTCACAGCCTATATTTGTCAAATTTGCATGGAATCAATCCCGTACATTGTCAGCTCTCATGGATTAACTACAGTGGCAAACACACTGCAAATGGTAGAATGCTGCAAACAAAGGAATGTTGTGAACACTTCCCTCCTGCTCTTCTATAATACTGTAAAATATATAGACTAGGTCTTTCATGGCCTTGTCAAACTACACAACATTTGTGTCGTTCATGGCAGTCGCGCTGACAAACTACCAGATAAATATCATACTGTGTTTTGGACTAGGCAAAATGTCACATTACAATCAGTCATCGACCAGACTGCCCAATCATTGCATGCTTCTCTCAGAATTCAGTCCATTAGGGCAAGCTCATCAGGGAGGCGGGACAGACAGTAGTCAAAGTCATATCGGTGGAGGCATAATGTGCATGTGCGTTGTTTCTATGTTCAGAAAAGGGGGGAAAAAGTATGGACCCATTCCTGGATGGTGGGGAGAAGGTGATGTGGACTGTCGATTCTCCAAAAAGAACTTAAGGTTATGAATTTTTTTTACTGACACCACGTTTGCTAATATTTTGAAGAAATGTTGGGTTTGTTATCTTTGTTCTAATGCTTTTCAATGTATGTCAGTTATGGATGTGAATTTTTGCTATTCGTGGGCCGGTCTGCTCCTGATTCCCCGTGAATGGTGGGGGTGGACTTAAACATAAACATACAAATAGGTAGATTGCTCCAGCTTCTGATCAAATTGGTGATTGGTTATTTATTATTTATTTATTTAACAATCTCCCTGATTGCTAATCGTCCCCCAAATCCTGATCACGTAAAGCCTAGTAATTTCCAACTGAGCAGTATTCCAAAGTTTTTTCCTCCATGGAAATGTCAACCTCCCAGGTTTTCTGCAATGCCCCATTCATCCATCCATCCATCCATTTTCTAATCCGCTTATCCTCATGAGGGTTGCGGGCGTGCTGGAGCCTATCCCAGCCGGGCTGTAGGCGGGTGACACCCTGAACTAGTTGCCAGCCAATCGCAGGGCACACATTGACGAACAACCATTTGCTCTCAAACTCACACCTAGGGACAATTTGGAGTGTTCCATTAACCTGCCATGTATGTTTTTGGAATGTGGGAAGGCTGCAGGCGGAATCGAACCCTGCACCTCTGCACTGTGAGACCAGTGGGCTTACCAGTCGATCACTGTGCCGCCCTGTGTTTATACCGTTAAGGTAAAATAACTCGATGTTGGACATCCTCTGCGTGTTGGATGAAGATGTGATGCATCTTCCAGCACCATGTTTGTGTGCACAGTCAGTGAAGGGGGGCTGGTCAGAAGCAGGCATAATTTCATGGTGCTTTAGTGAGACCTGAGCTATATTTAGAACAACTAATGGCAGGGTATTTTTTTGTATAGGCCTACATTTACTGGAGTTTTTTTCCCTCTCCTGTGTCAGCATCATTTCCAACCTTCTATTTTTTTTCTTGTGCCGACCATTTTTAGTCTGCATGTGTGACTGCTGCGGTTGGCGGAAAATGGAACGAGCCTCCCCAATCCAGTGGAGTCATCAAGTGTAAAAAGTAAAGGGTATAATCAAGCTAAAACATACGCAGGGTCCCACATCGTTTTTGTGTGTGTAACGAGGCCACCATGAGCTAAGTTTTGATGGCCCTGTCAGAACTGGGACTGGCCCCTTATTTTTCACAATACGATGAAGTGTCATGATTATTCATTCAGCGTCTCGTTTTATGACTCACTGAAATCAAGGCAATTGCAATTGCCGGCTCATTCTGTTTTGTCTGTCTGTTTTGTCTGTTATTATCATTTAAATTATGGTAAAGAAAATACAATAAAAATATGAAGAAAATATGAGTGGCATTTCTTGTATTGCTCATTCAACTGTATGTTCCCAGACTTCACGTGTTTGGCTGAAGGCTGCATGGCTGACGGACAGGGACGTAGACCAATCACATGACACTATGTTGGCTCGTAACTGCTTCCTCCTCTTAGTGGTGGTGAGTGGAGCAGCACTGGCCATCATCAGTTTCAGCATCCAGTTCTGTAAGTGCACTTACTATTTGCGATGGTTTTGTAAACTTGTAGAAAATCAGAGTACATTGTATTCTAATAAAGGGAAGTACCTTGTGTATTTTCAAAGCCGCGCACCCTCTTACTGCTTTCTTGTTGAAGAGACCCCGTTCATGCCAAAAGAAATTCAAGTCCCCTCTTGACATCCTAAAAATACCCACAACTGTGAGAGGATTTCTGGGTGCTCTGCAACACCTGGAGAAGCTGTGGTGGCTCCACCACATTTACTGTGGAATGCCCTTTTGTTCACAATAGTAAGTTTTCCACATGAAGTCATTGTTCAGTATTTCCGTTACAGTCGATACTAGGTATTGTATTGACGAGTATCCTCTTCAAGCCAAAGTAAATGCAAGGAAACAGCAACTGCATACATTGAGACTCTTGCCACTGCACTAGATATACAGTATGTGTATCGAGCACACATTATCACCCACAGGATAAAGAAGCAGACAAGTGTGATTTAAAATGTGAAGAATACATGTTGTAGGATATTCCTGAAGAAAATATGCATTTGTTTTTCATTTGTTACAATGTTTTAGGAGTGTCATTTTTAATTACCGTATTGGCCCGAATATAAGACGGTGTTTTTTGCATTGAAATAAGACTGAAAAAGTGGGGGGTCGTCTTATATTCGGAGTATAGACATTATACCCATTCACGACGCTAGATGGTGCCATATATCATTAAAGCGAATGCTGAACTTGACTCTCCAGGCCAAAGTGAACCCCTGTCACAAAGAATAAAAATAAAAACAGCGGTAGCACGAAGAAGAAAAATAAAAATAGCGGTAAGAAAGAAAAGAGAAGAAAATAATAGAAGAGATAACAGTCTACATATACAGTCAATGACATATAGCCGACATTCGTCCGACATACTGAATTCTGTATTGTTTACTTCTACTGAAATAATTCATGTGCTTATTGTTTCAGCACAATTAGACTCATTCCTGCAGTGTTCGTGACACTTACAAAATGTATACAAAAATCCTACATGCTTGCTTGTATGGTCTTGTGGAATTTTGGGAGTGTGTGTATTGCACCATGCTTTATTTGGAATTCATTTGTATCCATAATGTGTGTCAGTCCTTTACAAAAGTCCTTTTGTGTATGTGCCTGGACAGAGCAGTTTCAAAAGTTTGTTTAGCTGACGCAGGCTTGGGTCAATTGGTAGGCGGGGGTGACAAAGTATGGAGCACAGACTGGCTGTGGTTCTGAATGGACTGCAGTGTGTGTAGCTGGGCCTCAAGTCTGGGTGCAGTCGACAAAATGGTCTCCGCTGTTGCAGCACGCTTTCTCCTCTCCCTCATCATGGGTACGTTTAGAGATAACATTCAGATGATAGGATTGTCTAAATTACTTAACTGGTAGAATATTGTGCTTTCTTTGGAACTGACTTGCTTGAAATTACTTAAACAGGAGGTTGTGATGTTCTCAAGTCTATCATGTAGATGTACTGTATTACTAAAGAATGTTTTCCTTGTGCACTTTATAGTGGAGGTGTCCTGCTGAGACCAATTTTGAGTGTCTCTGCATTTAAAAACATATTAAAATGATATTCTTTCTTGGCTAGAATAGCTCTTATGCCTTTGGGAAACTTTTCTTGACATTGTTGTACATTATATGGACTACACACATGATCTGAAGACTAAGCACAGACAATTATAAAGGTGGCAAGAGTTAGGAATATTTTTATTTGTTGTGATGTTTCCTCCAAAAGCAGAATTTTGGCAGAATGTCTCACACTGCAGTATTTGTACAAAAGCCTCATTTTTTTTTTTAATGACATGCGTTCTTTCTGTGAATTATATCTCAATATTTATATTGCTAAAGAGGAGTGGGGCCAGTTTTGCTTCTTTTGCTTCCAAGTTGGGTCCTTTAGAAAGAGTCTCCCAATTCATACAATGCCTCTGCAACTGAATGGATTTTCTCACAGTGATCACAGGTCATTGGTGTCCAGGCAACTGGCTGGTTGCAGTCGAGGGTTTTAATTTGTTCAGATGTTGCCTTGGGAATAAATCTCAACTCTTCAATGAAACACATATATTTGCTTTTATTTATGTTGCTTTATTTATTGATTTTGGATCACTAAAGGATATTTTGGGGTTTAAATCATCTTCATTGTCACTTTCTTTAATTGTCTCAAATTGATGTGGTCATTCTGTTTTTTTTTTGTTTTTTTTTTGTGCCATGTTTGCAGTCAATTTACTCCCTACGACTCCTCTTGTGGAGGAGAGACCTGTCCAGGCTGCTGATGGAGCTGTTCGGGTGGCCCAGGGCAAGACCAGAAAGCGGGTGTTCCCAGTGCCCCACATTCAGAAACCCAACCCCATATCTGAAGCCTACGGCTACTGCAACACCCCCAGCCATACTGAACAAGCCTGGGAAGGTGCTCGCTCTGACAGTCTGACAATATATTGGGTTGTGATCAATGAAAGTAGTCACTTTAGACCGGGGGTCGGCAACACGCGGCTCAAGAGCCGCATGCGGCTCTTTAGCGACATCTAGTGGCTCCCTGGAGCTTTATAAAAAATGTTTGAAAATGGAAAAAGATTTTGATAGTAGGTCAATATCGCTCAAATAGATATAGATACATGTTGCAGCTTCGAAAAAGGAGAGCTGTGGTGTTGGGTTTTCAAAACGTAGACTTTATTTATGCTTTTAACAGTCTCGACAAACACAGACACGTCTGTGCCCGACTCCGTGCCTTCTCTCTTCTCGTTCAACTCGAGAGGCATTCAAAGACAGCCTCCGAAAAACGGAAATTCATGATCACTTCACTGACACTAAGAAAAGCGAAAATAATGCACCAAAACAAAAAATCAAGCGAGGAAATCACAAAATAAATTCTATGGGGGCGTTTGTGAACACACAACAAAGGAGTGAATAACAAACAATTCTGAGACAGTCCAGTCTCCTACATACATACAGCATGTGTTTCCTTCATTGTTAAGTTTTATAGAAGGCTTTTATTTTTTTGCGGCTCCCGACATATTTGTTTTTTGTTTTTTTTGTCCTATATGGCTCTTTTAACATTTTTGGGTGCCGATCCCTGCTTTAGACCATTCACCACTCGCTGAACTCTCTTTTGTTGCCTTTGTTAAGCTTTAGATGAGAAACAATAGTCAATTATTCCTTTGGCATGCTCAAGTACGGTCTTCTGGAATGTCATACATCTCATATTTTAACTGAGACAACCAGTTCATTGTTTATTCTGCCACGCGTGTACTCTGCTGTTTCTCCGATGGCATGATTTTTAAAAAATAAAGTGGATGTTTTGAGTTATTTTGTGAGACGCTCCGACTCAATTGGCGTTTTTGATGATTATGGGTTATATAAGTTTGTAGAACTGGGGAATTGAATACATCTTGTCCCCCTCCAAAAATTGCAACTTAAAATATGTAAAGATTTACCCCCTCTCGTAAAGTCATTTTGTTGAAGTTTACTGTGTGATATTGATCATCGTCCACTTTCAGGTCACAGTCCAGCAGACTATAAGCTCCTGTCTGTCCATGTGATGATTCGCCATGGGGACCGTTACCCTCTCTACTCCATCCCCAAGACCAAACGGCCAGCCATCAACTGCACCCTGTCCACTAGCAGGTACTCAGCCCAATATTGATTGGCAGGCCATCAACAAAATAAAGATGATTGGATTTAATATGACATGACATGCAGCTACATAGCTTGGTATTTTTTTTCTCTTTCCTTTTGCCTTTGTTGTGACTTCGCTTTCAAAGTCTGGCACTGTTAAAAGATGTACAGTATACGGTATCTGCTGATATTGTCTGTGTAACTGTAATTATTGAAAAACTAATTTCACTGAACTCTGTGAAGTACACAGAAAGATGAAGTAATTTTCGTGACGTCACAACTCTTAGCTGCTTGCCGTTTTGAGGGCAGAGTTCCCCATATTGCCAGATGTTGTACAGCCTTTTGAATAATGTTTCAAGAACCACAGAATATGTCATCATCAGGTCTTCCAAAAGAAAGAGTAGAATCCTTCTTTCACAAGAAAAACAGTTTTTGCACCTTTTTCCGTTTCTTTCATAATCAGCAGTAGAATATAAGTTGGTTTCAACAACACCTGTTTCCGACCAACAAACGGCATGGCGTCCGTTATTCATTCCATGAATTGTGCCCCCACACCCACACACATTTTTTACTCTGAACCGTGACACATACTCTGCATACTCTGTTACAAACATACACACACATACTCTTGAGTGTGAGGCTTCAAAACATCTCCCGACTTCCAAATTGTTGGCATATGTCTTCTTTCTCATTGACAGGACAAGTGGAAATTCACTGCCTAATTAGGTGATACTATAGAAGTCTGTAGCATTGAATGAGTTAGTAAGCAAAAGAATCACACCAACCAAGAGCAAGGCATGACATGACAGCCTTCAGTTGCAATCGCGCTGCTTTGGACTTTCAATAATGTTTTCCTCGCTATCTTGACTTGACTTTTCAAGAAGGTCACACAGACTGCCAGCAGTTTGAGAACTTTGCTTGCAATTCTATTATCAAGTCTATAGTATTCCGTTACTTGACCCAAATCATAACTCATTTCACCCTATTTTTAACTGCATTCTTGGTCCAAAAATGTACACAGTCCACATGCAAAAGTAAGACAAACTTTTTTTTGGTTTTTGGTTGATGGTAGCCAGTGTTGTTTATGTATGTGGGTGACCGGAGGTGGCTCACTCCAATACTTCTTCCTGATGCACCTTCGCCATTGCGTAAGTGTTTCCAGCACACCTATGCCAGGGATGACATTCCTAACCATCTCACGGGGCCATTAGTTGGGGGATCACCGATCTTTGAAATGTTGCTCCTTTAACCCCATGACACATGGTGATCTTGGAGTGATGGCAGGGATTTCTCTTGCCACCGTTTGCTGTTGCCTCACTCAACCCCTTAATACTATGCGTACTTAACAGCCCCCCGGCCAGCAGCTGCCTCTCTCCGCCTCCTGTGCCAGCTGAACTGCTTTCCAATGCCCCGTCCATGCGTATTAATTTTTTTTCTGGGAGCAAATGAGTTTGAGGAGCCAACCAAGCCCCCTACAACTCACTTCCATGGGACAGATGATGGCTTTCCTGCCAGCTGTCAGGTCTGAGTACTTGGCGCTTGTGCTCATGGGCAGCCTCCACGCCCTCCTCCCACAGAACAATAAGCCCCACAAGAATGACCATCTTGCGGACTCTAGATCTGTCTTGTCTTCTTCCTGGCTTTGGGCAAGTGCCACCTTACCTCCCTACAACGTAGGCTGGAGGCTCTCATTGATGGAGGCAATTTTCTTGTGGACCAAACCATGGTGGAGGTTTCACAGACAAGTTAAGGGGTTGTATGTGGCTCAAGACATCGGTCTTCCAATGACCTCGAAAACTTCGGCCGGCTTTGGAATGGGTTCAACACAGCAGCAACAACAGCAACAGTCCAACAAAGCACAAACACATGCTACAGCTTGCAGCTGAAACTGTTGTCTCGTGTCTGACACTGACTCCGGCTGAGCCTCTCAGCCAGCCATGTGTACGCTGAAGCCCTTTGGTGTGCACTCACTCAGGTGGTGTGCATGTTCTGCATGGCTTTGTTGACATGATAGAAGCTACCTTTAGTATAAGTTGTCCTGTATTTGTTCAACAGTCGTCTGTAATTATATTTTGTAAAAAGATGGCTGCGTTTTTTGCAAATTCTTTAGGAAGCAGGGCCTATTTAAACAAACAAACAAAAACGCCGGGCCAGGTCAGCTTGGAACAGAACTGGCCGTTTGGGAATTTCCCAATTGTCACCTTGCACTTGGAAAGAGTAATTCATGCCTCCATCACATCCCGGCTGGATTACTGTCATGCACATTACTTTGGAGTCAGCCAATCCTCCCTTAAGCGTCTCCAGTTGGTCCAGAATGCTGCCGCTCACCTCTTGACTGGCACTCGTAAGAGGTAGCACATAACTCCTACTCTATCATCCCTTCACTGGCTCCCTATACATTTTAGAGTTCTTTTTAAAATTCTATTATTTGTTGTCAAATCTTTAAATGGCCTCGCTCCACCTTACCTCTCTGAGCTCATCCGCCCCTATACACCTGCCCGGCGCCTCAGGTCTGCAGACCAAACACTATTAGAGGTACCAAGAACTAAGCGGAGGCTCAGAGGGGATCGAGCCTTTTCCATTGCTGTTCCCTTTCTTTGGAATGTCCTCCCACTAAAGGTTCAGCAAGCCCCCTCACTGTCCATCTTTAAAACTCATCTCAAAACCCATTTATATTCTTTGGCATTTGACTCGGCATGACTCAGACTTGATCTTAGTTTTACTGTTTTGTGCTTTCTACTGTCTTCCTTATTATTTTTTTTAAATTGTTGTTTCGATGATATTTGCTCCATGTACAGCATTTTGTATACAGCGATGGTTGTTTTAAAGTACTCTATAAATACAGTTGAGTTGAGCTGGTGTTGATAAACCCATTGCTTGTGAAGTATCTGGTCCTACTCTTATAAAAAATGAAAAAGGTGTTCATATTGCTTCGCTTCGATGTGCCTTCTAATGAGGTGCGCCCTATTTTTGGAAACAGTTTTAAAATATGCCATTCATTGAAGTTGCGCCTTATACAAAACAAAAAATACGGTAATTGCAGTGAATTTGTTGATGTCCTTTGTGAGACAAGCGAATGAAGTGCCTGGTCTTCTACTCACTACAGACGTACGTGCGGTCATCCTGTTTTACCGGGTTTTCGTCCAGTGTTAAATGTGAATACTGATTTAACATGCTCATGTCATGCACAATTCAGTTATGTGGTGGATCAAATACCCTCTTAATCTCACAAGCATTGGCGGTCTGCATTATCTGAATTAAACTCCTACTTTTTTTTTTTGTCAGTACTCTAAATGTGCCATTTCCTTCTCAGATATATCCCTCCAACAAAAGACAATTCAACATTAATCTCAATACATTTCAAAGTGGAACAATTTGATTCGGTTTGATTTGACACACTTGCATCTTTTAAATTTAAAAAAAAACGTTTTTCCGGTTCAAACCGTTTTTTTTTGTTACACCCCTAATAATAATAATGACCACAAAAGCGCTTCCTTCAGGGTAATACTTTGGTGTCAAAGTCACAAGAAACGGTTGCTTTTTCAATGGTAAAGTCTTGATCCGACCTATGATTACTATGGAAACAGTTGTGTGCACTGCCACAGATGCCCCCTCGGTTGTTTCTGATCAGATTTGTGCTGCAGCTCCAACAGATTTGTTGAATTGAAGCTTAATCCCCAATCATTTCTCCAAATCAGATCAGCAACTGCTCCTCTTGCTGCCCTCATTCCTGCATTTTTGTTTATCTCGTGTGTGTTTGGGCATTCCTGCCAGCACGGCTCTGTGTGTGTGTGTGTGTGTGTGTGTGTGTGTGTGTGTGTGTGTGTGTGTGTGTGTGTGTGTGTGTGTGTGTAAATGTAGTCCAATAGCAACTCATTCTGTAATCTTACTGTAAAGTCATGTTACCGCCAGCCGTTTGCAGGATTGGCACTCAGCAGTGGGTATTAAGAGACACCTGGTGGTGAATGAGGGGAAAATAATGTTGACTCAGAGGGGAAAATAATGTTGACTCACATGCCTTTTTATACGGACAGTGCACAGTGTAAGAGCAATTTTAAATTGTTGAAAATAAACTGTTCAAAATTGATTAATGGTTAATCCATAAACCTATTTTTTTTATTTTACAGTTAAATTATGTACATGTAAATGGTTTTATTGTTTTCTGTTTGAATTTTAGAGTGAAAAAAATTTTTTTCAACATTTTCTTCAAAACATATTCCCATTAGAGTGGTAACGACACATCCTTAAAATTGTCATTGAGGAGACGTTTAAATCGTCACACCATTGTAAAATGAATATGCTTTAGTTTTCATAGCTGATATTTTCTTTTTCCGGCAATTGGTTTGTGGGCCAGTGTTGCAAGTTACCTTGAAAAAGTCACTTACCGGATTTTTTTGTTCATGAATTTGCCGTGGCCTTCAAAAATGTCATGTGGTGCGATTGTGGTTTACCTTAAATTGAATTAATTTCCTTAATGTATTCATCCTTGTATTTTACATGTTCTCTTTTATTTGAAGTGCTTGGCAACAAAACATTTGTATTTTTTTCAGTTTTTGTTAGAAATTAAACTTGCACTCGCATTCCCTCTCTCAGAGGGACATTGCAAGCTTAATGTTTCTTTGATTTTGATAAAAATCATGAAAATGATGACCATTCACCTAAGAAAAGTGCACCAGGGATTCATATTTCAGCAACAGAAATTTGCTATATTATTTTGAAATCAATATAGCACAGGTGTCAAAGTCAAGGCCCGGGGGCCAGATCTGGCCCGCCACATCATTTTATGTGGCCCGCGAAAGCAAATAAAGCATGTCAAGTTCCATGATGCTTGCGTCTGAACCAAATGATACGTCTGAACCAAAGTTTCAAATTGTCATATGTAATCCACAATAACAGTCATTATTCTTGATTTCTGATTTTAAAACTTGTTATTCATCAATTTGTTGTGCACCGTGTATGCAATATGTAGAGGTGATTAAACATTTATGTGGTTTTCCAAAATTCATAACGGCCCTCCAAGGCAAACCGTAATCACAATGTGGCCCGTGACAAAAATGAGTTTGACAGCCCTGTAATATAGCAATTGCTATTACTCGTCACACCAAATGATGCCTAGTCGCCCCAAATGACAACAATATCCTGAATCCTTATCCCATACTGCCACCTACTGTACAGGAAGCGCAAAGTGTATCAATGCGCAGTCAATGGAAGCAACCCTGCTTGTGTTCAATTTAGCCCCGTGAACAAACACCCAAGAGAGTCATGAAAATGCCATAATAAAACACGTTGATGGTGGCTGTTAACAGCTGCCTGTGTATCCATGCAGCATGTATGTAACCTCCCAACATGGCTGCGGTAGAAAGAAAAAAAAAAGACCTCCCACAATGCCGTGCTCTGAGATGCATGCAACCGACCTATTGAAAACAGGAGCACTCACTCTCACACATAGACAGTATATTCAAAGCAGTCCTCTCTAAGGAATGCCCTCAAACAAACACACGATACAGGCGTCAGTCATCGGCAAAAACGGTGTCCATAAGTGATGGAAACATACGTATGTCCCAGACTATCGCTGTGATGATCAATGACTTGTGCCTCATGATACTCACTTCAATAGCCTGGAGGCAGTTGTCTGCTGCTGCCCTCCATGAAGATAGAATCTCTACACTTAAAGGTTTTGTCACAAAATAATGTCTTTGTAAAGTCAATTTCATAAGACGACTCCATGAGATCTGATCAATCGAAGTATCAGCCTGTTGTGAGCAACAGATATTATTGACACCTTCAGAAAGACATTGGTGGAGGAATGTGGATAATATCGTAATTGTTGTTGGCAGTGTTGTCGAACTGAGTCAATCTGAAACTGAGCCCTGTATTATCTTCCCTAGGAATCCCTCACATCCTCTGCTGAGATCCTTCATAAGTCACATGGGCAAGGGAAACCTTGGGCACTGGGAGTCCCCATTGGCATCTCTCCCTCGCTTCCCCAATCACAATACTTGTGAGACGGGAGAGCTCACACAAACTGGTAGGCAATATGATATGTTCTGTAACTCCAGGGACTTTGACAGCTCCTTCGAGAAATAGGGTGATCATTGCAAATGTTGTTTTAAATACCTGCGATAGGCTGGCAACATGTTCAAGGGTGTACACCACCTACTGCTGGGATAGGCTCCAGCATGCCGGCCACCCTCGTGAGGATAAGCGGATTAGAAAATGGATGGTTTTATATACTACGATATTTTTGTGTGTGATTTGATGTAAGCTCCATGTTACAGAGAAACCTAGAATTTTGCAAATGCTCTGTTTAATCCCTGTAAAGCTCTGTGTCTTCTCTGAATACCTGTACGAAGTTTCCAATGTTAATGTTTTACAGATTTTCATAGCCCTGGCTCTGTAAGTGAATAAGCTTGTGGGTGGAAATTTTCATAGTTTGATGCATTTACTTGTTATTTGACATGTAAAGCCTTCAATATGTATGCTTCACTTCAGGTGTGGTGCAGCACCTACGAAATGGGAAACTCCTCCAGCAAGCCTACCGGCCTCACAGTCTTGTCCCCTCTGACTGGTCACCTCAACAGGTATGGGTGGAGACGACAGGGAAGAGCCGCACACTTCAGAGTGGACTGGCTTTTTTCTATGGCTTCCTCCCAGAGTTCAACTGGAAGAAGCTGACCGTACATCACCAGGGGAGTACGTTATTCTGCGGCTCTGCCTGCGATTGTCCGGCCAGGAACCGATACCTTGAGCAGGAGCAGAAGAGACAATACCGGCTCAGAGTGGCCGATGCGGAACTAGAAAGAACTTACGCCGACATGGCACGCACGTTAGGTATTCCAACATGTAACCTCCGGGCCGCAAACCCAATCGACTCTCTGCTGTGCCACTTGTGCCACGGCCTTTCTTTCCCATGCGTTTCCAGGAAAGACGGTAGCACAGGCGAGTGTCTAACAATGGCGCAGTTTGCTGCCATACGTCGACAACAGCTCGATGACGAAAAGGATCGCAGAAGAGTGGGACTGTATCGTAAATATGCAGTCCTGGCAATGTACCCCTACCTCAACCGAACCGCCACCAAAATGGAACGAGTGGCCAAGGCCGCCACAGGTAGCCGGCCGCCAAGAGCGGGAGGCGAAGAGATATTCACGCTCTCCTCTGCTCATGACGTAACCGTGGCACCTTTGCTGAGTGCCCTGGGACTGGAGGAGGCCAGGTTTCCACCTTTTGCAGCAAGATTGGTATTTGAATTGTGGAAAAGCACCTCAGCGCTTCAGGGACAAAAGGAGCCGAAGCTTGGCAAAGGCGGGAGGCCAAAAACAAGAGATGGAGGATGTTTTATCAGGGTATTATACAATGGAGAGGATGTAACGCACGACACCACGTTCTGTCGCTCTCTTGACCGTCACTCCAGTCAGCCTCTCTGCCCTCTGAAAAAGTTCCTTTCTTTTGTCAGGAGAGACATCTTCGGTGTTGTCAATGCTACTTCCTACCACCAGGCCTGTTATAGTCGTACAGGTTAACACAGGGTCAACCATCATGACTGTGTTGGTGGCTATGCAACCTATCTTTCTTGGTGTCTGGTTTTGTTCTTTTACTTTTAATGATGAATGGGATAGCAAAGTTGTTTATGTTGTTTGGGAGAGCACAGACATAATTCCATTTACTCAAAAAAACCCCAAGAAAACAAAAGGCTAACATTCCAGAGAACAAACACATCTACCACTGCAATCGATGAAATATTTGTAAAACCTTATATTGTTTACATTACATCAAACTGACAACGATCTGCCTTTTTAGCAAGGGCATTTTTATGAAGTTCCTGTTTTTATAAGAATAGTGAGGCCGGGCTCTTGAGTTATTTTAGCAATAAAATTCTTCTGAATTCTCTCACAAGCATACTGGTAAAACATGGTTCAAGAGAATGGATGTAGCACTAAGACACTTTATTCTTCCAGTCCAGATATGGAACCAGAAAGGAAATAGTCATTTTTAAACATTTTAAAATGCTTGAAAAAAAAAACAACACTAGAGACTGATATTGTATGCTGGATTAAACATTTTTAGAATTTGTGTTCACTTGTGTTTGTGTGCAGTTTTTGTTTTCTTATTAAATCTTTTTCAAAAGTTTGGGCAAGTTTGCAGTTTAGAAAATACACTTTTTGACATTCATGTTAAAACAGTGTGACCTGACAGGAGAATACTATTCATACATGGCAATTTTCCGCGGATTCGCGGAATGTGTGACCTGACAGGAGAATACTATTAAAATCGGCATTGCAAAACATCTGTGGCCTTTATGCCTCTCATTTTACTTTTAATTATCGTTTAAAACCGTGACTCACAACTGGAGTGCTGTAAAACACCACATCTTGACAAGATGTGACTATAAAGAGAGGAAGAAACCGGGGAATCGTGTCAATCATTTGCCATGCATGCATCCGCAGAGACCGTTAAGTCACCTTTTGTGTGTTTTCAATTTATTATTCAAGTGCCTCGAAATTTGTACTCATACACCTGGAAGGTTTTCAGATTGCGTGACCCTACAATCACAAACTTGAATTGATTCTGTTGAGATTTATTTTATACGTTCATTGACGAATACAGAGATCCACACATGAATTCAAGTGAAAATTAATCCGAATGACAGACCTTGTCCAAATTTTTCAGTGGTCGCGTCTGTAGAATAAAATAACTCTTATTTAATTTCAAATCATTTGGCATTTGTTTGCATCCCCCATTAATAGCTGTAAAAAATTTAAACGGCGCTACCAGTAGATGGCACTAGTGTTCCATATTAGTCCAAATACATCTGCTACCGTCAGTTCTCGAATTTGTCTTTTCAATGGTGCTGCAGGACCCCAAAACACATAGTTGCATTTATATAAACGGGCATAACTCTTTCTTTATTAACAGTACATAACTCACAAAGGTTATTTCCGTAGTGAGTGTAGCAATGACAATTTCTTTCTTTTGGAATCCTCCATATCAGAAGTGTATTGATTCAGTAGACTTCGCAACACTACATGGATGGACATTTTATTTTGAAAATGACAGAGCATGGAATTGACGTTATTACTTGCTATAAGTCCAACATCTTTGTGTATATTCGTATTTTCATTTGACCAAAAATACACAGGAGTGAAATGTCTGATGAACTGAGAGAAAAAAAAGTAAGGGTGGGGGGGGGGGGATTTTAATTAAAAGGCAAATATGCTAATTAAGACCCAATGTATGCTGGATTAAACATTTTTAGAATTTGTGTTCACTTGTGTTTGTGTGCAGTTTTTGTTTTCTTATTAAATCTTTTTCAAAAGTTTGGGCAAGTTTGCAGTTTAGAAAATACACTTTTTGACATTCATGTTAAAACTGTGTGACCTGACAGGAGAATACTATTAAAATCGGCATTGCAAAACATCTGTGGCCTTTATGCCTCTCATTTTACTTTTAATTATCGTTTAAAACCGTGACTCACAACTGGAGTGCTGTAAAACACCACATCTTGACAAGATGTGACTTTAAAGAGAGGAAGAAACCGGGGAATCGTGTCAATCATTTGCCATGCATGCATCCGCAGAGACCGTTAAGTCACCTTTTGTGTGTTTTCAATTTATTATTCAAGTGCCTCGAAATTTGTACTCATACACCTGGAAGGTTTTCAGATTGCGTGACCCTACAATCACAAACTTGAATTGATTCTGTTGAGATTTATTTTATACGTTCATTGACGAATACAGAGATCCACACATGAATTCAAGTGAAAATTAATCCGAATGACAGACCTTGTCCAAATTTTTCAGTGGTCGCGTCTGTAGAATAAAATAACTCTTATTTAATTTTAAATCATTTTCCATTTGTTTGCATTCCCCATTAATAGCTTAAAAAAAATAAACGGAGCTACCAGTAGATGGCACTAGTGTTCCATATTAGTCCAAATACATCTGCTACAGGCAATTCTCGAATTTGTCTTTTCAATGGAGCTGCTGGTCCCCAAAACACAGTTGCATTTATATAAACGGGCATAACTCTTTCTTTATTAACAGTACATAACTCACAAAGGTTATTTCTGTAGCGAGTGTCGCAATGACAATTTCTTTCTTTTGGAATCCTCCATATCAGAAGTGTATTGATTCAGTAGACTTCGCAACACTACATGGACGGACATTTCATTTTGAAAATGACAGAGCATGGAATTTACGTTATTACTTGCTATAAGTCCAACATCTTTGTGTATATTCGTATTTTCATTTGACCAAAAATACACAGGAGTGAAATGTCTGATGAACTGAGAGAAAAAAAAAAGTAAAGGTTTGATTAAAAGGCAAATATGCTAATTCAGACCCAAAACGATCTCCCAGGCCATTTCACGTGTTATTCTCTGATGTCAGGATTGTTAATGGGTTGTTAATGATAGTTCTCCTCTGACGGACTCGACATACTCCACTGTTATCCTGGCCTCCCTAACCAACGCCTCTCCCTCCAGGCTTAGAATCCTCTCTACCGCACTTCTGACATCATCCTGCCAGAGTGAGGTCGAACTGCATCATTCCACCGCTCCTTGCTGAATCTTTGATGTTGTCACTGTGCCCCTGGCATTGGCTATTGCACCGGGACACATCAAGGTTAATGTATTGGCTGTGTCTGCGTTTTGCTCTTCTGTTTGTTTAGCCCCAAATCCATGTAAACATGAATCAGCTCAGCGGCAAAACCACAAATACAAATGTTCAAACACATCCAGCAGCACTGCAGTGATTGGGAAAAATACTCTGGCTAGGCAGAATGTTTTCTTCGTTGCAGAAGAAAACATTCTGTTGTTTAATGCTTTCCAATATGAGAGCTGTGTCAAATATTCTGCTTTTAAAAAGATGATACAATACAATACAATACAATACAATACAATACATGCTGATTTATATAGATGCTCAGTTTGCAGTGACACTGCCAGAGGGCTATTCATTGAACAGCATTGGTGTAGTTATGGTTGTGCCTCTGATATTTTAGGTGGCTCACTTAAATCAGGTCACCAAAATAGTCGTAATACTTTTCAGCCTGATACAAAATAACATTAACAAACAGGTTCAAAAGTTTAAAGATAACTCTGGTTTTGGGGGAAGGGAGCCAGGCATTGACAGGCGAGGCAAGCATACTAATGCTTCTGTTGAACGAACTCCAAGTGGTTTCGACGTTCAGTGTTCCGCTATAATTCACAATCAATGAGCAACCTTATTTAGTTTTAGGTTACATTACAGTTTACAATATGTCATTGAGACTTAATTCCAATCCAGTGTTGCAATTCATTTTCATGTCAGCAACATTTGCTGTGTTCAAAATCTATTTTTTAGGGTGATTGAAAATTGCACAGTGGAATTAGATGCTGTTATGTAAAAATCACATCTTCTTGAGGTTGCTCTCAAGTTTTCATTAAGCAAGCAAGATTTAAAACTATGAAAACTGGAAAGCCAGGTAGAGTAATATTCTCGGCACGTAACGGTGACGTGGCACAGGAGGCAGTGTGTATAAAGCTGGGGGTCAGCTAATTGGGGTCCTCAATGCGTGTATGTCCTGTCCGTCAGTGTCTAGACCAGGGGTGTCAAACTCATTTCACATGGTGGGCCACATACGGCCTGGGTAGATGTCAAGTGGGCCGGACCATTAAAATGATACCATACTTTGCTATAAATAACCAAAACAATATGTCTTTCCTTTGTTTTGGTATAAAGAAGCACAAGAACATTAGGAAAATGTTGAAATTAAATGAACATATCTTTTACAAAACATTTCATGAAGCACCTTACATTTCCTTCGACAAATGTGCAATTTACTTTTATAATTCACATATATGCATTGCAACTGATCCCACTGATTGTACAAACTTTAACAAGTAATTGGTATTGAAAAATATAGTAATGCACTTTAAGATTAAACAAGATTCATAAAGAAAGCAAGTTTTAAAGCATTTACACATGCATATAAAATCTAAATGTAATCCCTGCCTACACCTTACAAACTAAGGAGAGTGCTATTAAATGTGTAAATTGTGTCTTTTATGCATTTTCTTCACTTTTAAATTATCCTGTGGGCCTGATGGAACGGCACGCGGACCGTATGTTTGACACCACTGCTTTACATAATCATCTCGCGGGCCGGATTAAAGTCCTTTGGGGGCCGGATCCGGCCCGCGGGCCGTACGTTTGACACCACTGGTCGAGACTCTGCTGCTGGTGTGTTTTTGCAGATGTGAGGCTTTATTAAGCCCTTCACTTGAGGAAACAACCAGATCACCGTCAACGTGTGTGTTGGTGTGCATCTGCACTCACAGGTCACAATATTAGATACACCTACGCATCCACATAGAGCCAATAAAAGGGCTGTATATAAAATAAAAGTTTTATTTGACAGAGCTAATTGCTGGTTGTTTGTGGGGTAGAGCTGCACTGTATTGTAAGGTGGTTACTTTATTTAGCTCCATGAGAGCAGCATAATATGTGGAACATTTTCGGTATACTGACATGTTGTCCTACTGTAAGCTATGGCCACAGTAGTACATATTTAGTTGCATTTATATCCCTCTAAAAGCCCAAATCACAAAATTGGGTCTTGTATTTTTCTTTCTAAAGACTTTTTATATTTGTTTAACTGTATTATTGTGCACACACTTACCTGTGTCACTGATTTGTGAGTTTATTGTAGATATAATAAAGTAAGTGTAGATATAGTAAAATAATCAGGATTTATGAGTCTCTCTGGCCATAAGTGGTGGGCCAGAGAATTCATCACATGTAGATACTGTATACCCTGATAGGCAGCCACACTAATTGAGTTTTGGACATTACTGTCATTCCTCTGTGTAGTGCTTAGTCAGTCTGCAATTATGATTCACGCTTTTTTAGGAGTAAAGTATTTGTCTTTTTGAGTTGGGGTTTGTGAAACAGCTCATCAAATCTAAATGAGTCGGGAACTTTCTCACCATTCCACAGGGAAAGCAAGATGGACAGATGAATCAAACCCATGCATATGCCAAAGGCAATGGGGTGACAGAGATGCATACAAATGTGCAGAAAAATCAAACTAGAAGTGAGATGGGACGAAAGTGAAGGGGAATAAAATTGTGTGGAAAATAGGTCAGGACTGTCTGCCAAACACATACACGCAGTGTGCTCCCACCAGAGTGAGATTCTGACTATACTGCATACTGTTCAAGAACACAAAAGTCAAGGGGAAGACACAAGAAATGGTGCAGAAGGAAAAAGCAATGAGGTCGGAGGGAAATCAAAACAGTTCATTGTACACACGCCACCTAACTGTGAGTTTGTCATTGTGATGACTCAAATCAAGTTTTTTTGAGAGCATCACTTTAACCTATTTCTTTTCAATTATTTTCTGCTAGC